GCCTAGTTAGTGAACGATTAATACGTTCACTACACATATTATTTACATAATCATTTATCACGTAGAGAATTGCTTGAATTGTCGTCCGTAAGTACCTAAAAATAGACAATTAAAACAAAATTAAATGCATAGACAATTAAAATGAAAATTGTCATGTACAAACAAATCAATTACACTGGCAAAAAACACAATCAATAAATAATCTTAAGAATGTAGAGTTCAATACAATAATCAAAGTTAAAAAAATCGATAAATAATAGATTAACAATTCAAAAACTTCAAAACTTATTACTAATCCTGTCCAAAAAATAAAGCCTCAATTAAATTTAAATGTTATCCATTTAGAACGTTCTTCTGGTGTCATGTTCAAGAACTCGGACTTTTTTGCTTTTGTATTAAGCAAATCAAGGACCTTGAAACGATCATCATCATCCAAGTTTGGGATCTCCTTGATAACATTCCAACAATAAGGCTCCCTAGTGTCAATCGATTCAATAGCTCGAGTGATCTTGTCAACTGTACTCGCAAGTTTGTCTATAATATCTGATTGAGTAGTTTTGGGATCCAACGAACTAGATTGTGCTTCAAAATTTGTTCTACTTCGTTTTCGATTTGATAGGGAAACCTCTGAACTTATAGGATCTTGTGTATCAGTTACGATAAATGCTTCAGCATCAGGATCATACATGAAGTCATCTATTAAGCCACCACTAACTCTTTTTTCTTCTGTATAAAATGTTCTTGCATCAGTATCATCCCCTAATGCAATTGAGTGTGTCCCAACAGCCGTCCCACTTCCAACTGCAATTCTCAAGTCTTCATAGTCTGCAAAAGTATCTGTGCGATAACTTCTATCCTAGGGATGAGACTATTAAAGAAAAAAATAATTATAAGTGCTAATGTATGAAACATACACATCACTGAGAAATAGCTTAAATTTTATAACTTTCAAAATGAAGTAATACGGGAAGCTCACCATAAAGTAATCGTCCCATACTTCATCACTAGCAGTGAATTTCTTCGTCACATGATCCCATCCAAACCCAGAGTCATGACGCATAAGCTTAGAATACTTGTTATACTGGCTTTTAAACCATTTCACACGACTTTTATATTGAGCATAGGTTTTTTCAACACCAAGCTTTTGGTTAAGATGGGGGAGTATATGTTTTTCTACTGTTATCTTGCTGAACACACCATTAGTATCACACCAACCACGATTGGCAGCATCAACCATGAGTTTTAGCAGCTCATTGCTTTCTTCCAACGTCCATTTCGCATACTTTTCGATACCTCTTCCCTGAATCTTGTCATTTTCTTGTGTTGAATCTTCCATTAATACTATTGTCATATAATTACATAACAAATAATTAGTGCTACCTAAACCATTCCTTTTGGAAGGAAACACATAAATATGTAATTATCCATAAATTAAATGATAAAGATACATTAAATTTAACTAAGCACGTGTTTAAACATTACTCAGGAGCAATTATATTAATTATTCACTGGTAACAATGAATATAGCATTCCATTTGATTAAAGGCCAGGCATACTAAATCTGTGCACACCAGGGCATATAGATAGACAGGCGGAATCTCAATTGCAGTCCTGGTTTTAACGGAATGCTTGTGTTAAAAAGGAAACACATAAATATGTAATTCATTATGACCAAATACTATCTGTCTAGATTTTCTTTATGAATAAACAACAAAACAATGCAATAATTCTTACCTGGAACTTAGCAAACATTGATGTAAAATCTCTAAGAGCTGTTTACTATTTGCTAAGAATTGAATAACCAGGAAAAGAGTACTACAATGTTC